TTGTGTGCATTTCATTGTTAATGGACATGACATAATCTTCTGCTTGGAGCTATTACAGATTATGCTATTATGCTTTTTATTATGCTTTTATGAACACACATGCCTTTTGATACACATATGTATACACATGCTTCTGTTGAGTATAAGATCACTAGGTCATAGACGAGGAGTATATTCAAGTTTAGTAGATACTTACAGTTTCTAAGGTGGTTTTACATGATTGAATAAACTGAATTTGTGCCATCTAAAAGTAAAAAGAGTATACCTTGGTATTTTCAGATTTTGTTTTAGACATTTTGATGAGTATATTTTAATTATGCTTTCTGAGATTAATATTTTATATGAGTTCATTCAAGTTTTTTTTTAAATTTTATTTAAAAGGAAAAAGAAAAAACAAAAATAAGGGTACAAGTAATACAGAACTACAAAAAAAAAAAAAAAGTAAGAAATCACCAGTTAATAGATTACACATTATCATCTTAGAGATAGTTGCTCAGGGGCTGGGGATTTGGCTCAGCGGCATAAACGCCTGCCTTGCAAGTAGGCAGTCATGAGTTCGATCCCCGGTACCGATAAAAAGGAAAAAGACAAAAAAAGAGAGAGTTTTCTCAAGTCACAATATCAAAGCATACAAAGTGGACATTCAAACAGTGAGACTACAAACAGTTATGTTCAATGATCCAACCAAAAACATTAATATGGTCATCTATTTAACACCCCTAAACACACTTGCTGTTGTATCCTTTAGAGCACTTTTTTTCCCTCTCTTTTTTACAACAAAATTTACACATTTTGGGTTTTATTACTCCTTAGTTCTTATTACTATTTTTTGGAAGAGAATAAAGTCAAATATGGCAAAACAAAGCTGTCAGTCAAAACCAAGGATAGACATGATGTAAAAACAGCGTACAAGGTTATCAACAATGATTACCATAATGCCTCTTGCTTCCTTAAAAAGAATTGTCTATCTCATTAGGTATTATAAAGTTGAATAAAACAGAGAACAAGACCAATAAAACCTAAACATTGTAAACATTACAAGACTTCCAAAGGAGATAATAGTCAAACCAGAATGGGCATCTTAGTGAATCTTAATTGCCTTCAAAGTAGTTGACTATACCCTCAAACTTGATACTATCGTGCAGAATGGAACAGAGTCTAATCAGTCAAAACAAGATAGTGGGAGTACTACAGGACTTCAAATCAAGTTAATAGGAAATCAAAAAAAGTTACTATAATATATCCTGCTAATTTTTAAAATTTTCCCCTTAATTGAAAAATCATAAAAAATAACAATAATTTTTTTAATGAATAAGGGAGAGATTGAGATAAAAGAGGACATAACAACATAACAATACAGGTCAGAGCATGACTGTTTCAGCAACCTAGTGCTTCACCACCAAATAACCCGACTTAATAGTAGTTACCATAGTGTCTGTCTTTTTCCTTGAAATATTTGAATATAACTTCATATACTATAGCTTCAAATATTTCCATATCAAGCAGCCCAGAATAAAGCCATTCCAATTAATAAGTGAAAACTTTATAAGGCTTCAAGGCCACATAATGGGGAATCATGATTACCACATACTTTTATATATTTGAATCATTACTTACATTAGGGAAACTATTCGGTATTCACACATGAGAGATTGATTTATTTCACTTATGAGTATGATCTCAAGCTGTGCCATTTATTGATAAATATCTCAATGTGATCCTTCTTTATAGCTGTATAATACTCCATTGTATAGAAATACCACAACTTTTTTATCCATTCCTCAGTTGATGGACACTTGGGTTGTTTCCAAGATCTGGCGATTACAAATTGTGCTGTTATAAACATAGGTGCACGTATATCACTGTGGTATGATGCTTTCAGTTCTTCTGGGAATATGCCTAGAAGTGGAATAGCTGGAATAAATGGGACTTCTAATCCTAGCTTTTTGAGAAATCTCCAGACTGACCTCCACAAAGGGTGTACCAGTCTACACTCCCACCAACAGTGTAGGAGAGTTCCTTTTTCCCCACAGCCTCTCCAGCATTTGTTGTTGTTGGGTTTCTTGATCCTAGCCATTCTTTCAGGAGTGAGATGAAATCTCAGTGTGGTTTTAAGTTGCATTTTTCTAATGACCAATGATGATGAACATTTTTTCATATATTTATTTGCCATTTGTATTTCATCTGAGAAGTGCGTATTCATCTCAGATGCCCATTTTTAGGTTGGATCTTTGAATTTTGGGGGTCTGAGTTTTTTTAATTCTTCATTCAAGTTTTATATCACTTTCCATATTAATTGAACTATTTGCGTTCTAATTGTCAGATAAATTCACTGAAAATGTTTTCCCATTATGCGGCTTGCTTTTTCCCCTCTCTGTGACACATTTTGATGAATATCTGCTTTTAATTTTCATGGAATTCAGTATTTATTTATCTTTTGAGGTAGTGAATTTGATATCTTGTTTTAAAATATTTGGTTAATCCAAAGTCATAATATTTGTCTCTCAATATTCTTTTAGAAGCTTTATGTTTTTCTTTTCACATCTAGTTCATGATCCATTTGGGATTCTTTTGTTGTTTCTGATGCTGTTGACTATGGTGTGAGGTAGAGATTCCATATTCTCCCCTGTTTTAAAGATTTTTGTGTCTATATTTATAAACTGAGTAGGCCTGTAATTTTATTTTGTTGTTCTTGTGGTATATTTTTATTAGAAAGTTATGCTATCTTATAAACGGAGCTGGGTAGTATTTCATATCTATTTAATTGTTGTTTATGTATTTGCATTACCTGCTCCTTAATTTTAGAATGAAATCCATTTGAATCTGAAGTTTTGTTTGTGGATAATTTTTTACAGATTCAATTTATCTAATGGATAAAAGTGTATTTGAACTTTGTATTCCTTTTTCTGTGTTGGTACATTGTGACTTTTCTAGATGTTTGCCCATTATTTTCAAATTTATAGGTATCAAGTTGTTTGTAACATATTTTACTTTTTACCATCTGTAGAATCTCTGATGTTCCCTTTAGTTTTTGGTGTATAATTTCTGTCTTCTTTTTTCTTACTAAGGAAATTATGTTAGTCTTTTCAAATTCATCTCAGTGTGACTTTTGTGGCGGGGTTTGTTCGGCTGGTTTGGCTTGGGTTTTGCTGAGATGGGGATTGCACTGCTTTGCATACCCTGGTCTCAAACTCATCGGCTCACTTTACCTTGTCACTTCTGCCTCCTGAGTAGCTGGGATTATAGGCATGTGCCACGACATCTAGAACTTTTATTATAAATTTCTTTCGTATATTGTTGCTCTTTTTAATTGTATTGTTTTCTTCTCCTTTCTGAGTATGTTTGTTCTTTTTATAGTTTCTTGATGGAGTTGATACTTACTCTTTCTTTTCAAATTTGTGCAATTTTGACATATTGTATTGTCATCGTTCAGTTAGAAATACTTTTTTTGGTGCTGGAAATCCAACTCAGGAGTTTGGGTTTGCCAGGCAGGTACTTATGCTGTTGAGCTATATCCCTGGCCCAGAAATATATTCTAAATCTCATGTATTTTTCTTCTCCAGAAACAAGATTTTTTATCATATGCATATTTTAAATTTCTAGTATCTTGCTGACCTGAGCATGGAGACAGCCAGGTCCAAATCCTGGCTTTACAATTATTAACTCCGTAACTTCAGACAAGTGCCTGGCACAAAGAGGGTACCTTGGTATTTATAGGATGAGTGAATGTATGAAGTTACGTAAATGTCTAAGGCTCAGTATCCTTATCCATAAAATGGGTGTAAAAATGTGCTTGCTTTACAGATTGCAGATAATTTTTGTGAACCCTCATGGAATATAGTAGGCATTCAGTTAGAACTAGGTATGATAATAGCAAATTTAAAACAGAAGCCTTTCATTAATATCAAACAGATCCTACAAATAGAAGCAGTTAGTTAGGTTTATGGGAATGACTGTTTCCAGCAGCCTTTATTCCTCCCAGAGATAAGCACTACATGAATTCTTTGTTACACTGCTCTGGGCAGGATCCAGACTTCAGGTGTGAAGCCACAGTCAAATGGGAGACACACCATAACGGGGACAACTCAGGAGTGGAAAATGGAAGGTGTGCTGTGGGTGTCGGGTGCCGGTGGGTGCTGAGTCACTAGGAGATGGGTAGTTTGGTATAGAAGAGGAGCAGTGAAAGGTGAAGACAGCTCTTGGCCATCTTGAAAAGTGTACTAACTTTTTCCTTTGCACACTTTCAGAGACCTAGCCAATTACATTACTGCCTTGTAAACCAGCAGTCAGAATCGTTAGATAGGGCACAGGTGGGCAGTGATTGTATTCTGAGATGATCTACATTTTGCACGGGACATGCCTGGTTTTAGCAAATCACAGAGTACAAAGACAGGCCAGCTAAAATATATTTTCTCTTTTGAGGGAACGCGAGCCCCTCTGGAGTATTCTTCCTCCTTTCCCTTAATAGCGCTCTCTTGACCTTCCACTATGATTTGAAGCTAGTTGATGGTTTGTACGTGCAGTACAAGCATTTCTCTTTATTAATATATGAAAAAAAAATTTTAAATATAGTAAGCTCACTTAAAGACCATTTAATGCAGCTGCCCATGATGGTACATGGTCATTTGAGACTACGTATTACAAAGCTGTTTCCTCACTTTTCTGTTGTTTTGTTGAAAATAGAAATGCAGGAATTTTTTTTAGTGAAACATTTAGGCAGAATACTTTTTATTTTTCAGCATTCATTTTCCCACTCTTGAAACACCTGCATTAGTACACGAATTCATATATATAACACAACCATTGGGATTAAATCCAAGATTACTATAGGGATTCCATTGTCACCTAATTTATCCCAATATATATTTATTTGATAGACAGTTTACTTTGCAAGGTTTTATCCTTTAGGAATTCTCCATTGTTTACGTGGTCCCAAGATGTAATTCTCTAAAGAAGGAAATGGCAAATTATTTTAATGCTTTTATTGTTTTTGTTTCTAGCTTATTCTACTAAGCTCAACAAATTTCCTGTATTTAATATTAATGATGACTTGAATGATCTGTGTACCAGTGCAGTAAGCCCAAATACTACTAAAGCCACACGGTACGCCCTGAATGTGTGGCGATATTGGTGCATGACCAACGGGCTCAGAGATCACACGGACATCACCAAGGTAAGGGACCCTCGAGTTTACTACTTCTTTTGGCCAACCTCACTGAGTTTCTAAGTGCCAGGTACTGTACGGGGCGTTGCTTTCTGCTTGGGGATACTGATAGGACAGAAAATAGGGAGAAAAAATACTCATGGTCCAAAGCAGAATTGAGTATTTTATGATTTTACAAATCAGAAATTGCTGGAAAATCCAGTTAGATATATTAACTTTGGTTTGATGAGCCTGCAGAGGGAAATGACATTTAAGCTGTATTTTGAGAGAAAGGTAAGATTTCAGTAGAATTAAGGAGGACAGGAGTTTTCAATGCTGACTTACATGAAGGTGAATAAATTTTGGGAGGACAGAAATGCTTATTAAAACAGAGGTTTCATATATATGTAAAGTATAAGCCAGATTTTGAAAACCCTTACCTGCCAGTCTACAGTTCTTGCATACATTGGAAAAGCACTTGTTTTTGGTAAAGAGAGACTTTATTATAGGATCTGATCATAAGAGCTGCAAGTATCTTAAAGTTTTTTAAGAAGGATGGAACATAATGGTAGTGATGTTTTCAGAAAAATTAATTGGAAGTGATGAGCAAAAAGTTACTGGTCTTCACTTCCATTTTTAAAATGAACTTTTAAGATCTCTTCCAGTTTTAAGAATTTGAGGTTAGTGAATGACAGAAAAAAAAATCTTGCATATGTAGGGAAAGAACAGAAATAACTGTATTTTGATTTGGCCATATCGAGTCTCAAGTCAGATGACCAGAGGGACTGATTGTGAGATCGAAAACAGGGTAAAAATATTAAAGCTGTAAATATACAAGTATAGATTTCAAGATCTTCCAAACAGAGTTCATAGTTAAAGCCCAAGAGAAGGTTGGGAATGAACAAGTTGAAACAGGAAACCCAGGTTTCTTCTAGCTAGGGTGAGAGGCCTTTCTGTGTTACCTGCAGAAAGGGTGACGTCCTCAGGGGAGTCATGGAGAGGGAAAGAGAGAGAACAGAGCTGGAGCAGTGAGCATCAGCACAGATGAAAGCAGCGTTCTTCCTCAGGGCATATCCTGATAGCATTGTTAAGTCAAGACAGAGACAGCAAGATGAGTTGAAGAATCTTTGATTAAGGTGAGGACTCTGAAAGGCTCCCGGAGAGTTCTAGGTCAGTTGCTATGACTACTCGCTAGCTACTGAGCAGCTTCTAACACAGTTATGTGCTAACCTCTTAGGGGAGACATTCAAAATGTAAGTACTCAGGTCCCTCGCAGATGAAAATACATACTTTTAAAAATCAGCAGTCATTCAGGAGAAAAATCACTAAGAATGACAATGTATAAAAACAAAAAAACAACAGATTTATACACCAAGAACTCTGGAGAGTTCAATTATAGACTGAATTTTTATGAAGTGTTTTGAAACATATATGAAATTTTATGGAAATAAAAAGCATAAAAATAATAACATATCCATCAAAATTATCCCATCAGATTGGAAAATAAATTGAAATTTCTGTGTTTAGCCATGAAAGAAAAGGGTTCAAAAGTAGCCTCCTTTAACAACTAGAAAATGCAACACAATATATGAAGCAACTCACTGCAGACAGAACAGCACAAAATGTTATCCCCAAAACAGAGGAAACAAGTGGGAGAAGGGTCGTCATCTCTGAGGTGGCTGCCCTGAGGTAATTTCTGAACTGCAACAAAGAGAGAGACAAGTTAATGGAGTCTAACAATCTTCACTGAGTTGAGGGGAGACCGAAATCAGAGTTTGGGAAACCGAAGATAAGAGTACATTGGAAAGAATTTCAATTCACTGAAAGAAAAATATGACAAAATTCAGATTCAGCACTGTAAATTCGGTAATTTCTCGCAACTCATCAAAATGTTACTGGACATGGGGACATGTGACCCTTTATCTGGGAGAAAAATAAATCATTTCACTTCCAGCCAATTGGGAGGGCCAAAACTGCCCTCATGCCAGAAATAAACAAAAGGTGTAAAGCAGTGTTTAGAAGGCACTTGATAGATGGGAAGGGTAGTGATCCATGGGGAACAGGCCCCCCGGAGTATCCGTTTGCGGACTTCAAAGAGTTAACAGGCCTGTGGGGCGTGGAGGAAGAAGTCAGTCAGAGCCTGCCGACCTGCTTAGCTGAACCCAGAGAAGCAAAGGCAGCGGAGTTGTCATGGTGGAATAGCCAACAGCAGACAGCATAGAAAGCCCCAGGGATTGAAAGAAACCCTCCTCAGATATGCAGCAGAGTACTGTGAGAACTGTCAGTATAGGCATGGGAAGACGCCACTTGAGCCTGGCAAAAACTAAAACAAACAAAACTCCACAAGATTACTTGAGAAGATTAGCAGTAATAATAGGTGGCACTAGCACTGACACAGAATTGGAGACCATCTGGCCCACCAATCAGCTGAAAAAGACCTCCACTTTCAAGGGTTACCAGCCAAACACTTTGGGTAAGAAAAGCAGGATAATCACAGATTCAAGCAATCCTGGGCAGTTTGCTGACTTAGTGAATCCCTGCTCAAAATAAAAAATTAAAGAAGGAAAAGGGATGTAGCTCAGTACAGAGGCCCTGGGCTCCACCCTCACTATTACTAAACCAAACAGTTCATGGGCTAGAGACCTCAGGTTTTACATCCTATAGGCGCGGGAAATGCTTAGCTGTAGACCGAACACAGCTGTATTCCCACCCAGCAAATCCTAAAAGCAAGAACCAAAGAGTCAAATGGTTTTTAATTAACTGTATTCCAGAACAAAGCTTAGGATTACTTACAGGAATATAAAAACATTAAAATACAATAAAATTCACAATCTGTCATCTGTAAACAAAACTTGTCAGACATTCAAAGAATATATACCTTTAAAGAATGAATAAAAACCAACCCAAAACAGACACAGATTATAAAATTAGAGGGCATGGACATTAAAACAGTTATTATTATAATGGCCAGGGATTTATTTCAGTGGCATAAGGCTCGCCGGACAAGCATGAGGTCATGAGTTCAATCCCCAATACCAAAAACAAAACAAAACAGTTATTATAACAATACGTGGCAACTTCAAAAAAAAAAGTAGGGTTATAGATTTTGTTTGAGATTCAAAATGCACTTCTAGAGACAAAACTACAATGTCTGAAGGATGCACTGCTTAGGCCTGTTACTCTTTAGAGAAGAAAATATGTGAACCTGAATATGCCCTGTAACAACAGGAAATGCAGAGTGGAATAGAGAGAGAAAAGATCATTGTTAAAGTGATTAGACCATCAATAAGGACTGTGACATTTCCAGTGGACCCATGGACAGGTAGTAGTTGGGATCTTTGAAGCAAAAGAGAAAAAGAAGCAGGCAAAAAGAAACATTTGAAGGGTAAAAACCCTAATTCCGCCAAATTTGATGAAAACTAAAAGTTTTCATCAGATTCTAGAAGTTCATTGAACCCCACACATGAAATGAAGAAAACTTTATAAATGTATACCAAAACCAAATCACTTAGCCAGTTATAAATTGAAAACTTAAAAGCAGTTAAAGAAGAAAGATGTGATATACAGAGGAACAAAGATAAGGCAACAGCAGATTTCTTGTTAAAAACAAGGCAAATGCAAAGATTATCGAGCAACTTCTTTAAATTATGAAAGAAAAATACTTTCACTATCCCAAAGGAAAGTGTCTTTCAAAAGTGAATATGAAATAAAGACTTTTCAAATATTCAAAGCTGAAAAAATCAAAAAATTCATCATCAGGAGATCCACACTCGGATATATGAAAGGAAGTTTTTTACCCAAAAGGAAAATAGTATTACATATAATTATGTCAATAACAAAGAAAAAAACCTTGGAAATTATAGTTACATGACTAAGTATAAAAGTTTTTAAACTTAATTTTCTTTGAAGATCATTGACAAAAACAACATAGATAAAATGGAATAATAAAAATATTAAATTGATGCGGGTATAAAAAAAATTTTTCATTAGAAACTATGCAAGACAATGGGATAACATCTTTAAAGACATGAAATCAGAAACTTCAACCTAAAAATTTATACTGAGAAAATAAAAATGAAAGTGAAGTAAAGACCTGTTCTGAAAAAACAAGACCTGTTCTAAGAGAATTTCCCACCAAAAGACCTAGATGACACTAACTGTTAAAGGAAGCTCCTTAGGCAGAAGCAAAATTGTATCAAATAAAAACTTGAATTTTTCAAAGAATCTTGAAATGGAATTTTTTAATTTCCAAAAAGATAATTAACTGTTAAAAGCAAACATAATAACAGTGTAGTGCAAGGCTTTTATGTAACACATGGAGAGAAAATGCAGGGCAACACAAGTAGAGGACAGGTGACCAGATCAAAGTACAGTGCTGTAGTTCCAGCAAGACGTGTGAATCGTGTAGCTTTGGAAGGTAGCATGTGATAACTTAAAGATCTATGTTGCAAATCTTAGAACAACACTCAAAATGTAAGACAGAGCTTACAATCCTAATGTGAAAGTAAATGGGATTGTAAAACATATTTAAATCAAAGGAAAAGGGGAAAAAAGAACAAGAAAGTGATAGAACAAATAGAAAACACATAGCAACACGGTAGATTTAAACTCAGCCATCTTGATAATTATATTACATAGAAATGTTCTAAATGTTGTAATTCAAAGAGAGAGATTGTTTCCACCACCCAAAATAAAAGAATAAAAGCAAGAGTTAACTGTGCAGTCCATATTAAAGGCTAAGAAAGATTGAAAGTAAATAGATGGGAGAAAGATACAGTACTAAAGTATTAATCATAAGAAACATGGAGTGTCTGTTAATATCAAAGCAGATACCCATGGAAAGAATTGTAGCAAGAATAAACAGAGAAATGTAATAATGATAAAAGTCTCAATTTAAGATTTTACACCTATGATCCCAGCACTTGGGAGGCTGAAGCAGGAGGACCATTGCAAATTCAGGACCACCCTGGGCTACAAAGTGAGCTCAAGGCCAGTTTGAACTGCATAGTGAGACCTTGTCTCAAAAAAAG